ATAGATATAGATATAGATATAGATATAGATATAGATATAGATCGATATAGATCGATATAGATCGATATAGATCGATATAGATCGATATAGATCGATATAGATCGATATAGATCGATATAGATCGATATAGATTGTTATAGATCGATATAGATCGATATAGATCGATGTAGATCGATATAGATCGATATAGATCGTTATAGATCGATATAGATCGATATAGATCTATATAGATCAATATAGATCGATATAAATCGATATAGAGCGATATAGAGCGATATGGATCGATATAGGTCGATATACATCGATATAGATCGATATAGATCGATATAGATCGATATAGATCGATAGATCGATAGATCGATAGATCGATAGTTCGATAGATCGATCGATCGATAGATCGATAGATAGATACATAGATAGATAGATAAATAGATAGATAGATAGATAGGTAGATATAGGTAGATATAGGTAGATAGGTATAGATAGGTAGATAGGTAGATAGGTAGATAGACAGATAGACAGATAGACAGATAGATAGATAGGTAGGTAGGTAGGTAGGTAGATAGATAAGTAGATAGATAGGTAGATAGATAGATAGATAGACAATTAATTAGGTAGATAGATAGATAGATCGATAGATACATAGGTAGATAGATAGGTAGGTAGGTAGGTAGATAGTCAGAGAAAGAGAGAGCAAGAGAGGAGACATCAAGCACCTTTCAGTCCATCAGTGGCTTCGCTCTGCCATCCGTGATTCACAACAACCAACCTTTCCTATAGGTTTCCTATTTTTGAAACTTCCGCCACCGCCTTGTGCGGTACTACTGGTATGTATGTACTTTAGGATGATGCCCTGAAGCGAAAATGTACCAACTTAATCCAACTTATCTGAAACCACCGACGAAGAAATCCGATGTGTGATGCTGTCCTCGAAGGCCCTTTGGCTCATCACGTTACCCTGGATGTCTTCACACTCAACATCCTCAGCTCAGCGGGTACCGCCACCGGTGCACTGGTGCACTGACTCTTAGATCTCTTAGTACCTTACAAACTCCAAGCGAAAGGCTCGAATTCTTCTTGTTTTCTTGTTTTCAACTTTTACTGGAGAAATGCCGCATTCAGTTGCCCCAAGCTGTGCCATCCTATTGCTCATGCTAGCAGTCATCGGCCCGCCTGGTCAGGCCGGAAGGTTTGCTCCTCCGCATCGCGTTTCAGCTTCTCGTAGAGCGTGATGGCTTCCTGCAGGTGGCTTGGATCCAGTTGAACGTTGAGCCCATGGGCTGGGTCAAAATGAGCCACACTTCTGTTCATTGCCATCCAGAAGCCCATGTTTGTTGGTGCCACTAGGATGTTTACACACGGGGTTGGAACGCGGAATGAAAAGTTCGGTGTTTCTGCCATTAATAGGCACTAATCCATCTTAATCCCCCGCTACAACATGCGAGTTGCGGACACTGTATCCCAAGCTAAAACTTCTTTGGGTGGTTTTGTGCAGACCCATGTTGGCACCCACCTCGATCTTGGTGATTTCCTTGAAGTGCGCCGTGTTCGGAATCTTGAGACATCGCATGCCGAAAGCATGTCTCCACTCCTGCGAATGCAGTGGATGGGATGAACATAGATGAACTCCAAACCACCTGGAAGTCTCTGCAGAACTGCCACTTCCATCAAGGGAACTTGTCTTGGACGCCCCTGCCCCAGGAGCAAAACGGATTCATAGCAAGAACATGCAGGAACTCTTCGTGGGAGCCCCAGAGTTTCCATCTGGAGCCAACTTGGTCCTGGAAGTGTCGCTCAAAGGCCCTTCGACCCCAGTAGGAGTAGTTACCACCTGTGGCAGGAGTGAGACCCTGGGAATCTAAGCAATGGCTTGGATGAGGCTGTCGCAGATCCAGATTGATCTGATTCAATTTGCATCAATTCGGCACACTTCTACTTTCACTTTCTCTTCTTGGAGGTAAGACCTATTGCCGGAAAGGAAAGATTTGGATCAGGAGTGAGGGGTACCACTGCTCCTTCCCTAATCATCAAACATCATCAAGCATCATCGAACATCATCAGCACAATTGACGGCAGCAGACGCTTATCTACTCCGAGGTCCCCGGCAGATTTCACACTTGTACTCAATGCCTTGGATCTTCATGCAGTGAATGGAGGCATGGTTCATGCCACAGATCCCTTGCAATTCCACTGCGGTTGCAGCTAGCAGCTAGAAAGATGTGCTGGCAATTTGAGATACAAAAGACAAAAACCATCAAAAACCTCAACCTCATCTCTTTCGCTCTTGCAATTCTCTTGCATCCTTGAAGCCCAAGCAGTCCTAAGCCCAGCCGCAGCCGAGGTGCCCATCCCATGGAGTTTGTAGAGCCAAAATGGGATCGGCTTTCCATCCCACCCTGGCGGTCCCAGAAAATGGCGTGTCAACAATCGGATCCTTTACCAAAAAATGTACCCTCTGGTAATGACTGTTACAGTTTGCTATGGAAAATGGCCCATTTAGTTCGTTGATTTACCGAACTTAAAGATGGTGATTTTCCATAGCTATGTTAAATTACCAAAAAATGTCATACTTTATGTGGGTCAGATCCACTCTTCTGTTGGTCCCAAAAACCGCTGGGCACCGCTCTCCAAAAAATCGGATGGAAGACCCCGCCTAGTGGCAGGTTCAATGGGTTGTAGATCGGCCGCTCCTGGCAGCATGGTGGATGATGTAATCCCTGTTGTACACTGCAAAGGGCATGGTAGGCATGGCCTGCCCTTCCATTCCTACCAGCACACGCTCGGGCCTCATCATCTCCATCGTTGGATCCCATCTGGCAGGATGCATGACACAGCGCTGAGTCAATAGGAGTTGCTGGAGTTGCTGACAATTTAATTTGATTATCCGGTTGATGCTGCCTACTATTTGTGTTACAAGTTCCACTATCCTTACTTATTATATATATATACAGGTGTGTGTATATATATATTAATACATACTTTTCAAAGAACCTGTGGATCTCTAGGGTGAGCGAGTAGCAGCGGAGCAGTGCCCCTCGTTCTTGATTAAGTAGCAAAGTGAAAGAAAATACCATGACTACAAAAGAATGAACATCAAACATGAAAAAAATAAGACATTCCAACAACACAATTCTGCTGTTGTGCGTTTTTCCCGAATGCGTAGCAAGGGTTCCCGTTTCACTCTGGGGGTCTGGGGGTTGAGGGTGTGTTCGCTCGACGTTGCGTCCGCGTCCGCAACCGTTCGCAACCGTTCGCAGCCGTCCGCGCGATCCCCGTATGGCCGTGCCTATGGGAAGTTCTGCAGAGGTGGTCATTTTTGGATGTTTCAGACGTGTCGTTGCTTCGTTTCGCGTGGCAGGCGTGGCACTTCGTGACATTCAGACGTGTTTTGCAACGTGTTGAAAATCGTTTTGCGTGGCAGGCGCGATACTTTTGTGACGCTTTCAGAAGATGTGTTGCAGTTTTCGTGGCAGGCGCAGCACTTTGGACGTGTCCATCGTCATTTTTCTTGGCAGGCGCAGCACTTTAGACGTGTCCTGTTGCGTGTTTTTGGTAAATCGCATTGGCAGGGCTGCATCAAGTGGTGACAAGGTGCAAATTCCGTGGCAGGCGTGGCATTTTGTGCGATGTGCTGAAAATTGACGGACGCCTCGCACGAAACATCGATTTTGAGGTTGCAAATTTTCAGGTTCTAAGGAAAACTCGTAGGAAAACGTCGATTTTGAAGCTGCAAAGTGCCAAACTGGGAGGAAGTCTCCTACGAAATGTTCGTTTTGGTGCGCAAGACGTGTCTCGTCTCGATCGTTTTGGTGCTCCCACGTGTCTCGTCTCGAGTCTCTGGTTTTCCTGTGGCTTCGCCCTGTCTATGGGGGAAGCCGCAAAACCTCTCCTTTTCGAAGGTTTCCAAGGAAGTTGTCATGTCGTTTTGCGTGGCAGGCGTGGCGCTTTGTGACATTCCAACCTGTTTGATAATGTGTCAAAAATGTCAAAATTGGAGGAAGTCTCCTACGAAATGCTCGTTTTTCTGCATCCACGTGTCTTGTCTCGAGTCGCTGGTTTTCCTGTGGCGTCGCCGTGTCTATGGGGGAAGCTGGAAAACATGTCCTTTTCGAATGTTTCCAAGCAGGTTGTCCTGTCGTTTTGCGTGGCAGGCGTGGCACTTTGTGACATTCCAACCTGTTTGATAACGTGTGGAAAATATCAATATTGGAAATTTGAAGAAGCCTCGCACGAAATGCTCGTTTTTTTGCGCCCATGTGTCTCGTTTCGAGTCTCTGGTTTTCCTGTGGCGTCGCCGTGTCTATGGGGGAAGCTGGAAAACATGTCCTTTTCGAATGTTTCCAAGCAGGTTGTCCTGTCGTTTTGCGTGGCAGGCGTGGCACTTTGTGACATTCCAACCTGTTTGATAACGTGTGGAAAATATCAGTATTGGAGGAAGCCTCGCACGAAATGCTCGTTTTTCCCGAATGCGTAGCAAGGGTTCCCGTTTCACTCTGGGGGTCTGGGGGTTGAGGGTGTGTTCGCTCGACGTTGCGTTCACGGTCCGCAACCGTTCGCAACCGTCCGCAACCGTCCGTGCGAGGACCATATGGCCGTGCCTATGGGAAGTTCTGCAGGAGGGATCATTTTTGGAGGTTTCAGACGTCGGGTTGCTTCGTTTCGCGTGGCAGGCGTGGCACTTCGTGACATTCAGAGGTGTTTTGTAACATGTCGAAAGTCGTTTTGTGTGGCAGGCGCAATACTTCTGCGACGTTTTCGCAAGATGTGTTGCAGTTTTCGTGGCAGGCGCAGCACTTTGGACGTGTCCATCGTCATTTTTCGTGGCAGGCGCAGCACTTTAGACGTGTCCTGTTGCGTGTTTTTTGTAAATCGCATTGGCAGGGCTGCGTCAAGTGGCGACGAGGTGCAAGTTCCGTGGCAGGCGTGGCATTTTGTGCGATGTGCTGAAAATTGACGGACGCCTCGCACGAAACATCGATTTTGAGGTTGCAAATTTTCAGGTTCTAAGGAAAACTCGTAGGAAAACGTCTTGAAGCTACAAAGTGTGAAAATTCGAGGACGTCTCGCACGAAATGCTCGTTTTGGTGCTTCCACCTGTCTCGTCTCGCGTCATTGGTTTTATGGTGGCTTCGCCGTGTCTATGGGGGAAGCTGCAAAACATGTCTCTTCGGCATGTTTCAAAGTGTGAAAATTGGAGGACGTCTCGCACGAAATGCTCGTTTTGGTGCTCCCACGTGTCTCGTCTCGAGTCTCTGGTTTTCCTGTGGTTTCGCCGTGTCTATGGGGGAAGCCGCAAAACCTCTCCTATTCGAATGTGTCCAAGCAGGTTGTCATGTCGTTTTGCGTGGCAGGCGTGGCACTTTGTGACATTCCAAGCTGTTTGCTAACGTGTTGAAAATGTCAAAATTGGAGGAAGTCTCGCACGAAATGCTCGTTTTTCTGCATCCATGCGTCTCGTCTCGGGTCTCTGGTTTTTCCTGTGGCGTTCGTCGTGTCTATGGGGGAAGCCGCAAAATCTCTCCTTTTCGAAGGTTTCCAAGCAGGTTGTCATGTCGTTTTGCGTGGCAAGCGTGGCACTTTCCTCACTCCACACTCCACACTCCTCACTTTACACTCCACACTCCACACTCTACACACCACACTCTACACTTTCCACTCCAGACTCCACACTCTACACTTTACGCTCCACACTCCACACTCCACACTTTACACTCCTCACTCCACACTCCACACTTTACACTCCACACTTTACACTCCTCACTCCACACCCCACACTTTACACTCCTCACTCCACACTTTACACTCCACACTTCGCACTCCACACTTTCCACTCAACACTCCACACTCCACACTTTACACTCCTCACTCCACACTTTACACTCCTCACTCCACACTTTACACTCCACACTTTACACTCCACACTCTACACACCACACTCTACACTTTCCACTCCAGACTCCACACTCTACACTTTACGCTCCACACTCCACACTCCACACTTTACACTCCTCACTCCACACTTTACACTCCTCACTTTACACTCCACACACTCCACACTTTACACTCCTCACTCCACACTTTACACTCTCACTCCACACTTTACACTCCACACTTTACACTCCTCCACACTCCACACACACTCCACACTACACTCACTCCACACTTTACACTCCACACTCCACACTTTACACTCCTCACTCCACACTCCACACTTTACACTCCACACTCCACACTTTACACTCCACACACTTTACACTCCACACTTTACACACTCCACACTCCACACTCTACACTTTACACTCTACACTATACACTCTACACTCCACACTTTACACTTTACACTCCACGATTTCCACTTTACACTCCTCACTCCACACTTTACACTCCACACTTTACACACACTCCACACTCACTCCACACTTACACTCCTCACACTCTACACACTTTACACTCCACACTCTACACTCCACACTCTACACTTTACACTCTCCTCACTCCACACTTTACACTCCACTTCACACTCCTCACTTTACACTCCACACTCCACACTGCACTTTACACTCCTCACTCCACACTCTACACTCCACACTCCACACTCTACACTCCACACTCTACACTTTACACTCCATACTCCACACTCTACACTTTACACTCCGCATTCTACACTTTACACACTCTACACTCCCCACTCCACACTTTACACTCCACACTCCTTACTTCACACTCCTTACTTCACACTCCACACTCCACACTCTACACTTTCCACTCCACACTGCAGACTGGTAACAAGGGAAACATGTACAAGACTGTTCAAATAAACTATTGCAGAAAGGTATTGTGCGTCACTGCATAACCATGTGTTTTGACATCTGTACCACTAACATACGTGTGAGCATTCGGGTTCGTGGGCTTCATCTTGTTTTACATGAACCATGCCAATTCTTCCATTCCCCCGCTCCCCAAATCCCCACTAAACTGGCTGTAAAGATCCCGAGGCACGTCTGCGCCGTCATCCTCCATATCTTCGTCCTCGGAGTCCTCCTTTTCCGCCTCCATCTCCTGATGCTTCGTTGCATGGCTCGATTGGGGTGAACAAACCTGCCAATGAAAAACCACCATGTTCAATCAGAAGATCATCTGTTAGTTGGGTTCATCCAGCCAGATTTGATTACGGGTGCAGATTTTTTGGGGTTTGTTTTTTTTGTTTTTCAGTCTGGGGCACTTTTCCTTGCTATTTGCTACATTTTGGCGCAAAAACCTGTACTTTGCTAAATTTTTGAGCTAAAATTTGCCATTTGCACTGTTCATCCGTTGTTGAAGCACAACCGTGTTGGGTCTAAGTCTAAATAGTTGCATTGGATGCTATCATAGTGTTGGTTGGTTAGGGTTTATTTAGGGTTGGTTTAGGGTTGGTTTAGAGTCATTTAGGATTGGTTTAGGGTTGGTTTAGGGTTGGTTTAGGGTTTATTTAGGGTTGGTTTAGGGTTGGTTTAAGGTTTATTTAGTGTTGGTTTAGGGTTTATACAGAGTTATTTAGGGCTGGTTTAGGGTTTATTTAGGGTTGGTTTAGGGTTTATACAGAGTTATTTAGGGATGGTTTAGACTCATTTAGGGTTGGTTTAAGGTTGATTTAAAGTTGGTTTAGAGTTTATTTAGCGTTATTTAGGGTTGGTTTAGGGTTTATTTAGGGTTGGTTTAGGGTTTATTTAGGGTTATTTAGGGTTGGCTTAGACTTATTTAGGGCTGGTTTAGGGTTTATTTAGGGTTGGTTTATGGTTGGTTTAGGGTCATTTAGGTTTGGTTTAGGGTTGGTTGAGGGTTGGTTCAAGGTTTATTTAGGATTTATTTAGGGTTGGTTTAGGGTTTATTTATGGTTGGTTTAGGGTTTATTTACGGATGGTTTAGGGTTTATTATTTAAGGTCTATTTGGTGTTGGTTTAGGGTTTATTTAGGGATGGTTTAGGGTTTATTATTTAAGGTCTATTTGGTGTTGGTTTAGGGTTTTTTATAAGGTTGGTTTATGGTTAGTAGGGTCATTTAGGTGTGGTTTAGGGTTGGTTTAGGGTGAATTTAGGGTTGGTTATGTCGGGTTGGTTTAGGGTTTCTTTAGGGTTGGTTCAAGGTTTATTTAGGGTATTTAGTGTTGGTTTATGGTTTAGTTAGGGTTATTTGGTGCTATTTAGGGTTATTTGAGGTTGGTTTAGGGTCTGTTGAAAGTCTGTTGAGGGTTGGATTAAGGTACATGTAGGAAAACAAGGTGTGTATATAAAGAAAGAAAGATAGATTGATGTTAGGATGTATGGATGGATTGATAGATTAGATAGATTAGATAGATTAGATAGATTAGATGGATTAGATAGATTAGATAGATTAGATAAATTAGAAAGATTAGATAGATTAGATAGATAGGTAGATGGATAGATAGATTAGATAGATTAGATTGGATTTAGGTTAGATTAGATTAGATTAGATAGATTAGATAGATTAGATAGATTAGATCGATAGATTAGATAGATTACGATAAGATTAGATAAGATCAGATTGGGTTAGGTTAGATTAGATTAGGTTAGATTAGATAGATAGATAGATAGGTAAAGCATGGTAAAGCGTGGTAAAGCATGGTAAAGCATGGTAAAGCATGGTAAAGCCACAAAAGCCACACACCCGCAAAAGCCACAGAAGCCACAAAAGCCACAAAAGCCACAAAGCCAGGCTGGAAAACAAAAAAAATAAAAGCCCTCCTTTGATTACTAAAGGGTATGATTGGATAGGGAGCTAGTTACACGGTTAATGTGTTTGATAATGGGCAGCACGACCCCTTTTATTGAGTCTCTAAATGATGTGACAAACGGATGACAGGCAAGATTGCAACCCCATTCTGTATCTATATAAGGGATACAACCTCAGAAATGAACCAAGCCCCAAGTCGCCATGTGCAAGCGCACCAATGATGGCATCATGGAGAAGCCACGGCACAGCAGAAGCCAAACTTTTGATGATTAGGAGCGTGTGTATATACATACGAGTACAAATATATAAGAGTGCAAAACTGAGTACTTTTGACTGCTTCTAAGTGAATCAAGATTGTTCCAATACTTTATGCCAAACATATTCGTCTCGTGACTAAGCAAAAGGTACACGTCCACATTCCCTGAGCAGCTGTGTCAACAAGACCCTTGCTCCTCCACAGTTTGACTCTGCTTCTTCTGCAGATGCTGAATGGTCCTGAATCTCTGCACCATGACAAGGCAAAAATTAAACAAAAAAAAACACAACAGCGAATCTCCTCAAAGTTCATCCTTTATTCATCCACTCTGTTGTGGCACTGGGCATAAACGCAGCCCAGCCTGCTTAGCTATCCCAACCATGGAAAATCGCCATGTTCTTCGGGGATTTTCCAGGCATCTTTCCATCTGAGGCCCTGTGCTCGTTGATGGCATCACTCAGCAGATCGTGCCATTTGGCAGCACGACTCTCCAGGCATGCGATGCGGCGATCCTGCGGCATTTGGGATGGAACGAAGATTGGAAGAACACCAATGGCTTATAGTAAACAAACACATGATTAATAGTGGTTAATAGTGATTAATAGTGGTTAAAAGTGGTTAATAGTGGTTAATAGTGATTAATAGTGGTAAATAATGATAATTAATGGTGATTAATGGTGATTAATGGTGATTGATGGTGATTAATGGTGATTTACCCTCTGGTAAACGTTTACATAACTATGGAAAATCACCATTTTCAATGGGTAAATCAACTATTTCGACTGGGCCATGTTCAATAGCTATGTAACAAATTACCAGAGGGTAAATGGTGGGTTCCCAAAATGGGGGATCCCCAAGTCACCATGGGTTTCAATATTAGACTGGTCTAATGACTTGGATGATTTGGGGCTAGTCCTATTCGAGAAAACCTCCATATGAAACAAAGAAAAATGAACATGACCATTTGTTTTTAATATCCAAAGAAACCTATTTTCTTCAATATCCACCAACAAAATATCAAGATATCATGAAACAAAAAAATGGACATGGGAATATCGACGGGAAATGGTGTATCGTCCCATCTTGGGGGATGAAACCAGCAATGCCCAGCGATTGCCGGGTAACAAAGAAGACAGGAAAGAGGCTTGGACCAACAGAAAGAAATACACACTCAAGATAATTGGTGAGTGCTTTGCAATGACGCTAAGCCCGAAAAAAACTCACCAATTGCTGGTCAGGTTTCCGAATTGGGTCTCAAAACAATGTCGAAATCATGGAATGTGGTGGATCAGTTCGTTTCATTTAGGCTGTGGGTCCCTAACTTTTGGCTGTTGACAAATTCGGTGATGGTGCTTTTTGCGGCTTAAAAATAACCAACTCAAACCATCATCTCTACCATCTTTTCCACTGAATGAGCAGAGGCATCCCAACTTTGGGGATACAAACATGGTTGGTTAATGATGGTTAATACTTTAAAAAATGGATAATAATGGTTAAGAATGGTTAATATAGGTTAATATAGGTTAATATAGGTTATATAGGTCAATATATATATATAGGTGAATATTGGTTATAGTCTGTTATAGATAGTTATACCATCAAAATAAGCCCAACGCACCTCATCTTCGACCATTTCGGCGAGCTTCTTCTGATTCTCCAAGCCCAACTTTTGCCTGGCTATGTCTCAGTGGCAACCGGAAACTGAGTTAGAGATGGACAAGACTGCCAAAGTAAGGGTAACTTATTTGTTTTCCGCCAAAGTAAGGGTAACTTATTTTTTTCGGTTGTGTATCAAATACATCTGAAAGATTTCAGATTTCAAATTCAAAAACTGACAAGAATGTGCTCGCTTGAACTGGCCGGTCCCCAAGCCTTCATTTTCAGAAACAGGTGGAGCCCATAGCCATCCGGACCCTCCGGACCCTCCGGACCCTCTGGGAGGACCCTCTTTTTTGGCCAGCAGGTGGTCACATCGAAACTTTGGTGGTGGTCCCCACTGTGACACTGTTGATCCGTGCAAAATAAACAATGCGCCATCGACGGGGTCCACATCGATGCGAAAGATCCCTCCATGGTTCCTGACGGTGACCACTGGATCTCCAGTGTCTGGCGGCTTCAACCCATTCGATATTCATCATGTGGGAATCATCATCCAATATCTATGGTCGAAATATACATATCATGTATGTATGTATATATATATATATAAGTATTATGTGTATATATATATATACCATATTTGAAACGGCCAATCAGCCACAATAGTTGATTGATTCCCCATCCATCGCTTCCCATTCATGGGGATTCAACGACCTCCCTAGCTTAAGCATCTATTCTTGGGGGTCACCAACCTGGGTGGGCCAATAAATCCTGGTTGTAGTTTGTTATAGTTTGTTGTAAACCAACTACTAGTAGTAGGTAGTTAAGCAACAATACGGGTTGGTCGAATCCCCATTTTTAGCATTGTCGTTATCATCATTCATATTTATTATCATTATTAGACCATGGTTTCTGAGGGAGTGTTTACCATGAACTGGAGATGTGGGGATGGGATTATGTTGCTGGGGCTATATGAGTTATATCCCCATCTCGCCCAACAAGGCTAGTGACGCGGGGTTCGCTATCTCCATCAACGCCGCTTCGTCGCTGCATTTCTTCCAAATGGAGCCACGTTGCATGTCCTCAGCAACTGATGGGGGTATGACATGGTATGACTGCGTTGAGAAATGGAGTTAGGTATAAGTATGTATAGGTTATTTAGATTTGAGCCAGTGAAAACTTGGGAGTGTCTATATCTTATAGCTTCTCACCAACTTCTGACCGTTGAAAAATATGGACATAACTTCAGCTCTTGGCACAAGGATTGTATAAGTCGTCAGTATCGGAAAAAACATGGCATGCTCAGGCATTTAAAGTTTCAACAAGGCGTAAAACATCATAAGACCTTAAAACACAGGTTCATGTAGATCTTAGTAAAAAAAAAAACAATGGTAACCCTGACAAAATTAAAAGAAAAAAAACAGAACTCACTATGTTGGAATGGTGAAGCCATGGCAGGCATAGGCTACTTGGTACATCCTTTGATCGCATGGCCCAGCATTATATCAATGGCCATTTCATTCACCTAAATTGGAGGTACCTACCGTTTATAAGGGCTATGATGTGAGGGGATATTCCCCAAAAATATGACTTTACATGGTACAGCATCTCTAGTTTAGGGTCCTGCAATTCCAATTGACTCTATAAATTGACCTTGTCCCTTCAGCAACTACTGCCTTGCAACACCAAATGTCCGTGCTTGCCAGCTGCATGAGTATTGTTCATTGAGTCTCAAGTCTTGTTCCTGACATTTCTTTACTGATTCAATACTGTAGCCTCTGGTAATTTAACATAGCTATGGAAAATCCATTATAAATGGAGGTTTTATTGGGAAAATCATCTGTAAATGGTCCATTTTCCATAGCTATGTTAAATTACCAGAGGGTAGCACTTCTTGTTTGTTGCCAAGACTTAGTCTCCTCGTCTCTCCGGAGATCCCGGAGATCCCCGAGCCTCCGGTACGGACGCCACGCCAAGCAACTGAAATGTAGACATCGTTTCCGTGCAACGCCATGTCTGTGGGGCGAATTCCCACCGCAGCACAGTCTACCACCTGGGAATGACTTGGCCCCCCAGTAGGATATACCTTAGACAATGTATGTATATATATACATACATACATACATACATATGTATATATATACATATGTATGTATATATACATACATGTATATACATATATACACTGGTATATATATATGTATATACATATATATATATATATGTATATATATATACATGTATATGTAGTATTATATATATATATTCTTGTAATATACATTAGAGTACAGTAGATATTTTAGATAGATATGAAAAAATGAAAGATGTCTGGAAGATGATCTTTCCCCACTTCTCAACCAATTTTGTGCTCTCAGCTGTCGACCACGATGCCATTGCCCTGGCCGCTGAATTTCAGGATCCGGTCGCCCGCAGCATCGCTGATGTAGATGGAGTCATCCTGCAGGGATCGGTGCAACGCTTTAAGGGACGCTTTGGGAGGAAAAAATACCCGTTTTTAATGGGTAAATCACGGTAAATCACGGTAAATCCATCATAATTCATCTATAGACGGGCCATTTTCCATGCGAAATCACCAGAGGCTACTGGTAAAGTGCATTTCGCTGAGTAAGTGATTGATCAGCCATATGCAACTGGGGATATTCCATACAGAACTGGGGTATGATATGTTTCTTACCCACTTGCTAAGTGGGATGCCCAAGTAATTCCAAGGGGGATATCACAAGGGGATATCTTTTCCAGGTCCTGTGAAATGACGAAGGTCCAAGCATGGAAACTCAGGGACGTCTTGCCTCAGGTCTCATTTTCAAAACCCAATTTTTCTGGAGCTTTGCCGAGAAATGGCAAGCGAGTTTGTTACTTGGCGAAATGTTCAGTGTGTGATTGTTTTTTGACAACCCATCTGAATAATGTCCTTGGGTGATAATAAGCAGTTGGATTGCCATGGATTGCATCTGGATCTCAGCATGCGGAGGCTCAAAAAATCCTATGCCTTACACCTATCGATATGACGTCATCCAGGGTCTACCTCCAAACCAGGTCCTGCTAAACGGCAAGACACTTGACGGCGTCATGGGGATCAGCTCTTTGTTGTTCACTTTCCTCAGCCGATCACGCGCTGATATCGGTGCCTTGGAAGAACTCTTGGTAATTTGAGACTACCTTTGATCACCAGGTGATCCCAGGAAGGTTTGAAAGCTCCAACCTGGCCCAGCTTCTGAATTCGAGTACGTCCCTTGTCACACACATAGAGCTCACCTGGACACCAGCTCAGAAAATCTGAGCAATAAATCTGTTTGAAGGTTAATTCAGCTGAGTCACCTCTAACTCCTGTATTTTTCACAATCTTTGGCTGAAAATATCTCAAATATACAATATACAATATACATATATATATATATAATATGAATATGTATGTGGACCATTTCTATAACGAAAAAAAAGAAAGACTCTGGAGGTCATCCTGATCTGCCATGCCGCCGCCACATGTGGCCCTTTCTCACCTGCAGGTGAACATTTCAAGTCAACGATGCCAGGGAAGTTTCCTCCTTCAAATCCCTCCAGTCGATTCTTCTCCTGGAAGACTCTGGGCTGGGCACTTGGCAAATCTTCTCCAGTGTTTTTCCCATTCTTTTCCGGTCTCAAAATTCTCAAATCAAGTAGAAAATGATTTTCCAACCACCATAAATCCACCATAAATCCACCATAAATCCACCATAAATCCACCATAAATCCACCATAAATCCACCATAAATCCACCATAAATCCAATGGAACCTGGTTTTGGTTTTGGACAATACGCAACGTGCTGCGTGGCGCGCTTAACGCGCAAAAACGCACCCAGATCCCCCGGATCCCCCGGATCCCCAGATCCAGATGGGCTCCTTTGCTTCGAAGACCCTGCGCGAGTTCGCTGCATGAGTTGATACATTTGTGAAGCCCTGACTCTATCAACGCAACCCCCAAAGATATTCTATTATGAGGTATAATGGGGACCTGAATGGTATCTACTAATCTACTATCTATCATCAAAATAGCTGGGATTTATGGATGTTCATCCCATTAAAAATGCTATTTTTATAGGTATTGATCCATACCCATATACCCTGCCCCAAACCATCAATTGAGGTAAAGTATGGTAAAGTCCATGGTAAAGTCCATTCAGGCCCCCATGTTATATCTCGCAACATCTCTCCAAACGGTGGGTTGACCAGCTGGTGAGTCCCATCCCAAGAGTATGAATGACATTAAATGACAAATTGGACCATCCATGACCATCTCATATCTCATTTCCAGGGATGGAAAATGAACATATTTGAACTCACCAGCTGAATTTCCACATCTCCGTCGGAAAAAGTTCCCAACAGCACCTCACGCACTGCCCATCCTTCACACTCCAGACGCTCCTTTGAAACAGAACGGCACCATGGCTTGTGAGGGGAAGCTGGGATGAAGGAAAGGTACAACGGTGGACCCCAAGAAAAATCCGCCAACGTTGGGCATCTCTGACCTGTCCAAAAAACGGCTTCCCAGTCAGTTGGGGCCCCACACTTTTCCGGATCCATCAGATAACAGGTGCCATCCCGGCCAACTGCGAAGGTTTCCACACACAGCTGCTGCCGGTTGTTGCTTTCTTGCAGGAGAATTTCACCTGCACAGTGGCTGGATGGACTGCTGGGAATGGTCACCCATCACCGTTCCATGCCTTGCTTTGCACCAATGGGCCATTTCACCAGTCGCCCATTTGTCATGTCGCCAATGTAAAGTGAACCTGCGGAGCAAGCTACAACGGCGCCAAACATCACTGTGCCAACTGTCCGGGAGTGTCAAGTACTGCAATGTCTTCCCACGCTAAAGACAACTAAGAGAAGACATATTCATTGCGCTTTTCAACCACTGGCATAATACAGATGTGGAAGAGAACAGTTGGTCTGCGTTGTTTTGTTGCTGTGGAACATGTTTTCAAGATGATTCTTAGTGACAAAGTTGCTCTGATCAACTCGGATTCATGCATTTTGGTTCCGTTGAGTCAGATAAATGAGTTCTTATGTACCTCCAGAGAGAGAGAGAGAGAGAGAGAGAGAGCAACATCACAGTAGTTGGTGATATCTTTCTGAAAATCTGAATTCATCATTGCTGCTTTGTTGGTTGCTGTGACTCTGATTTTGCGGAACCCAAGAGAATTCGCAATAGTCTTGGCGCCGGTTTGCGGTTTGATTTCGTCGGTTCCATGGTGCAAGCGCTTTCTTTTAGAGCTGCAAGATGGCAAAAAAAAAAATGTCGCCGATTGTTGCATCCTACTGACACAAAAGTAAGTGGAATGCCTGCAGGCCCAAATCCAACCGCTCCTCCGTGGTAGACAATGGAGCTCAGGTGGTGATGTACACCAAGTTGGTCCTGGGAAAGGGCCCAAGTTTCCCTCGAAAGTTGCCACATTTCTTCAACATGCGTTCATGTTTGAGTAAAGGTAAGCAGAGTATATTAAAATAAAAAGTGTAATCCTTTCCTCCGAATACCACAATATTAAATACCAGCCTGCAAACGCCTGGTTTTGTGTTGGATTTATTTATTTGGTGGTCATTTATTGAATATGTGTATATATTATATATATGTCACATATTATATGTCATATAATTGCATATATACATATATACATTTATTGAAATATATTATATATATATACATTGACTTAGACGTTATCCTCATTCATCCCTATTTCCCCCTGGTTTCCCATAGCTCGCTCGCTCATCCAAGATTCGGGGCCCTCACCAGGCTGCGGTCCACCTGCTACGATGTGGTGGCTTTGTCCTCGGCGTCGCTTCCATTTACAGCATTTTGTTCCATGATGTTCCAGTAAATCTCCATTCATAAGTGACTTTCCCACATATTTTGCCCATTTAATGATGATGATGATGATGATGATGATGATGTTGTATTTTCAGGTTTCAGCAAGGGTTAACCTAGTTATACCCAAATGGACTGATAAACCTAAAAGGGACAAATACCGTTAAGCTAGCGGCGCACAAGCTACTTTTTACCTGAGCCGCAATGCTAGTAAGCATACTATGATACAGCTATGTTTTATGTGGGATGCAAATACACCCCCCTCAGGTGAGCCGGACACGGCAAGGCTGCCCACTTACCAGGGCGAGGCTTTTAAACCTGCCTTACCGAGCCAGCTCTTTGCAGACCTGAGGAAAACATACAAAAGTACAGCGGCTATATACAATCGATCGTCGATGCAAGCAGTGTCACAATTTATCCCTCTTCCCATTCGACACGGCCATGCCTGATAACCTTTTGGTACCAGCGCCCATGCCACTTCTGCCACTCATTGGTGAACTGTCGATCATCTTGGGAATGACTTTGCTGAGGGCGATTGAGCCACTGACTTGCTGACGTTGATGATGAAGCTACCTCTACGCTTGTGGATGTTCGGGCAACCGGTTTGGCGGTGCCTTTCTTGGAGGGACCTTGGCCATACGCACCAGTCTGCTCAGCTTTGCGCTTGGCCTCATTTTGTTCGCGGGCCCTGTCAGACTGTTTCTTCTTCTCTGCTGCGTTCTGCTTGTACAGCTCTTCATTTTGTCCCTTAATCCACCTCAAATGGCGTTCAGCATCATGAACAGCAATGTTGTCAACACCAGTGCAAGACAACAAAAGATTGTGTCCAGGATTCCTGTTGAGGTAGTCAATGTACTCTTCTTCGGAGTAAATCTCGGTTCGGTACATGTAGAACCATGGCTGGTCGATGTACCTGAAAGACTTTGGGACATCATAGCGACTGGCCAAATCCAAGTAAACCAGCCTCATTGCGTTGTGCTCCAGCTGGGATTGCTCAGAAATACCCATCTTGACCTGAGCTTTGGTGCGACCCGGCTTTGGCAAATGTGCAGACTTGAGGAGGTCGTACCTTTCACAATCGTACTCGTTCTCCCCTTCGTTCAACACGCTCTCTGCGAATGTGGCGTCCTGGGCAAACCTGTCAGCCACAGACACATAACCTAAACTCAAGGCACGGTCAAAGCGACTCTTGGCCCTTGCCAATAGGCCGGCTTCCGGACTTGAGCTTCCCCTTGCCTGGTCGTCCAACAAACCCAAAGATTCAAGCTGATCGTGTGTGATGCTCTGCAGGTACTCACCACGAAAATCATAGTACAAGCCCAGCTTGTGAAGGGCGGCCTTCCTACGTTCTGCAATCTTGGTTCGGTCGGCCTTGTTGATCCCTTCGAGCATCAATCCACACACATCGCATTCAATCTGTCCCTTGAAAGTCTGTGCAAAACATCTTGAACATTGCGTGACTTCGATCTTGACCGGCACCGGCTTCTTGTCCTCCTTCTTCACCTCTTTCTTTGAAGGTTGGTCATCGCCTTTAGGGCGAGACTTCTGCTTTGGCACCAGTGACTTTGACGTTGCTGCTGGCGTCTTTTTGGGTGACCCTGCAACTGGAGCTTTCGGATCTTTCTGCACTGCCTTTGGTGGTGCAACTTTTGGAACAGGCTCCAAGAAGGCCGCAGCAGATGATGCCGCAGGCACAGCTGTTGGCACGCTTGTTAGGGCTGCCTTCTTCTTTGCAGGTTCATCCTTTGCCGCTGCATCAACTTCTGAGGTCACAGCTTTTGGAACTTCTGGTGCATGAGGTGCAGAAGTCCCTTCCTTCGGTGGTGTTTTTGGAGGTGTCTTTGGTCCTTCAACCTTTGGCGGTGTCTTCGGTCCTTCAACCTTTGCTTCAGGAGGTTTCGGAGCTTCACCCTTTGGAGGAGGGGGCAACAGTCTGCTGCTTGCATATCCAGGCATACTGGCAAGTTGGGCCACATTTGGTGGCGGAGGCTTCACCTTCCCTGGGAAAAATGTCTTTGCAGTGGGCGCGCCAGTTGAGGCGGCCGGAGATGTGGAACCTGTCCTTTTTGATGCCTTGGCCTCAAAGGTCTCGGCAAGCTGTTGGACTCCAACTTCTCCCCCACTGCTTGCTGCAGACTGCGCTACCTCCTGTTGGCGACGATAAAGATTCACCTTCTTTGCCGTGTCGTCCACAGAGATGATGTATTGTGGCGGGACGACATCACTTGTGAGAATGCCGTCAGAAGCCGTCCTGAAAAACACAATTCCAGCCTTGGCAGCTTCTGCCATTGCAACCCTGATTTCAATGGGTCGCTCAGCACGCAAACCACTCACATACTCTTTCTCATCAACACGAACGTCGCTAAAATAGGAGTGAGCTCTTCCTGACGAATTTCGTTCTCCTCCTCCAGCCACGAAGCCATTCTCAATGATGCCCTTCCAATTGCCTTTTGTAGTCCTGTGATAAAGTACACCAGGGCACATCTGAGGAGTGGTAATCTTTTTACCTTTGGCGTTCATTTTCTGGATTGCTGCTGCTCCAGACAGAGCATAGATTTCCACTGCATTGAACGTGTCCTCAGCTGAAGCGGCATCCATGGCACGTTTCGTATGCCCCTGCACTGCACGGATCCTGATGGGCCAGTAGGCTAACCCTTTACGGGTTGCCTTCTGGTACCCGGCAATGCACTGGAACTCAAAACGGCACTTGTTGTCCCAGTAGAGCAATGAGATGAGCTCTTCAACTGTCATTCGGGGCAACTTGGCTGGCAGCATTTGGTTGAACATTCGAAAGAAGTCATCAAGGTCAAGCCACATGTTTTCATCAAATCCAGAGGTGTCCTGACCCGGCTGTCCACGCGTCACTGCATTGACCTTGGTCTTGTGTCGGTCCATGCGATCTGGGTACTTCAGCTCCTTTGCACCATCCATCTCCCAACAGGTTTTGACGATCAATTCGTAGGGATGGGCATCAACGACGCAATGTTCAACTACTTCTGCATTTATGTTTTCATCCAAAGTGATGCGATATTTGTCAAGGTGTCCAAGTGCGTGTTTCGGAATGATGGTGCCCTTGATCTCGTTTTCTTGCAGGGGCTCACCAGCTGAGGTGGCCTGAGTTGAATCCTCCTGCGTCGTCTGAGGTTTCGCCTTGGGGTCAGGCGGAGCTGCGTGGCTCGCCTTGGCTTTGCCAACAGATGGGCCCTCGTGCTCATCGGGATCCAGAGCATCCCATGGGTCGCCTTCCTCATCATCATCTTCGGCGACACCAGCATCAGTCGGGCGATCCCTCAACTCCTCCGCTGTAAAGCTTTCCGGGGTCGAGACACTCGGTGCAGGCTTGTTCACCTTCTCCCGGAGAGAGTTGAGAACCTGCACAAACCTGACTGGGAGGTGCTCCATCTTAGGCGGGACATCGCGCATTGTGGCCTCACCTGCAGGGCGCCTGCGCTTGTACAAAGACAGGTTGTACTGAGGGATCAAAATGTCTGTCATGTGCAGCATGTGGAGAGTTGCCATGACATATCCGATCATCTCGCTTCGGTTGAGCTCGGTCTCGAATGCGTGAAAGTAGTCCCTGAGCTCAAGCCTCGGTGGAAGCATGTCATTCTTGATCCACCGAATCCGATCGTTGTCACTGGCAATCTCCTTGTGGAACCATTCCTTCAGACGTTCAATAAACGTCGTGAAGATGAGACTCAACCCATAAGTGAGCGGGTCGGGCTCGCCGATTAGGGCGGCCTGATCCACTCCCAACTCCTTGAGCTGATTGTTCCACCAAACAATGTTGCCTTTGACCCTGTCCATGATGGCATTCCAGTCACCCTGTGGCTCCCTCTGCCCCCAAATGGGAAGGGGTTCAACACCATATTCCCCACAAATTTCATTTCCAGACCAAAAGATCACCGAAATAACCCTGATGGCTGATCCGTGAGAAGAATATTTTGCCATCAGCTCCTTGATCATGGAAATATTTGCTTTGCAGAGCTGTTGTAAATCCTTACCCCAGAGCATGTCATGACCGATTTCGAGAACCATGTCTGATTTTCGCAATCCCAGATCCTCCTTCAAGGTGTACTTCTTCAAAGTCTTACCCTTTCCAGTGATCAGAGCCAAAGTTGAATCGGAAGTCACCACATAGATGGTGGGCACGACGTCTACCGCCGGCCTTGATGTCCCAGGGACGTACTCAGTAGGCAAGCTCAGATCCCACAGTGAGTCATGTTCCAACTCGGACAGATGGCGGATCTCCTTTGCCCACGGCACGTTCGTCAGGGCGTCCGTAGACATTGACTGCGCAGTAAAACACTGCATGAATCCTGCAGCCAACTCAAGGTCTTCTGTTCTGTTGCCCTGTGCCAGGATGGTTGACGAAGCGAGGATCGTAGAAAAGATGTCCTCCCACCCTGCGTGCCTATCCCCCTGAACATCAAGGCACTTCCGAAAAGCAAGCCACTCCGACATGTTGCTCTGCTGGGGCACGGTCTTTAAACCGGCCGACTTGAGAGCCCGCACGTTCATCTTTTCAGCAATCGACAAGTTTGAATCTTCAGAACGTCGGCTCATGGCGGGCAAAGCTAACCTTTTCCTGTTCTTGGCGGTTTGTGCCCGGTTAGCTCTGGAACGAAAACAATCATGGATGAAGTCAGTCAACTTGAATGTGTAGTTCTCTGCAAGCTTCAGTGCAGTACCCCGGCTTTGACCATGAGTGTGGGAACCATCACAAACGTATTCCGATAGACTTGACAACTCTTCCATGTTTGTTGCAATCATCCAACCCTTTTTCATGGGATTCCCGTCCAAGTCAATAACCCCAAACTGGCAACCGTGGAATGGATACAATTTCAACTCTTGTCTCTTCAAAAACGATTGAACCATTGGCCATTTCCAATACTTGCAGTTCTTTGAGAGTTCGAATGCAATTGAAAAATGTGGCCCATCGATTTCACTGATAACCTTTTGAA